CACAGGTGGAGGATTAGCGTATTGAGCTGCAGCACCGGCCCATACTAGATCTTTTAAACAAAGATGGGGAATCAAATCATCTAGAGCCTTAAAAAGTTTGGATTTTTTTTTTGGATAATTGCAGTTGGAGACTTGGAATGCTTTTGAATAGAATCTGATTATTTTAAAATGATTGATTTGATTTCAGTATGGAGAGTGCATTGTAGGAAGCAACAGAAGCAGCAGAAAGACCAGTAGGAAATTGCTGTAGTAATCTAGGTGGGAGATGGTAGTTCTTGTACCAGGGAAGTTGTGATAAAAACATAGAGCAGAGGGGACAGCGCTGTGGCGCAGTGGGTTAATGCCCTAGCCTGAAGCACCGGCATCCCATATGGCCTCCAGTTCTCCTCTTCCTATCCAGCTCTCTGCTATGGCCTGGGAAAGCAGTGGAAGATGGCCCAAGTGCTTGGGCCCCTGCACCTACGTGGGAGACCCAGAAGAAGCTCCTGGCTTTAGACTGGTACAGTTCTGGCTGTTGCGACCAGTTGGGGAGTGAACCAGCAGATGGAAGACCTCTCTCTCTCTCTCTCTATCTCTCTGCCTCTCCTCTCTCTGTGTAACTCTGACTTTCAAATAAATAAATACATTTTTAAAAAACAGCTTAGAGAGAAGGATATATTTTGGAGGTAGAACCAGTGTGGCTTGCTGATGGATTAGATGGAAATCAGGGAAAGAGAAAAAGATGAACTCTCAGTTTTGACCTTGGTCACCTGCACATACGTTGGTGCCGTTTGACACAGGAAAGGCTGAGAAAGAACTCAGTGGAGGAAGGATTGAGAGCAGCAGAGCAGATGGGGGAGTTAAGAGGTCTGTTACAGATGTGTCAAAGTTGCTGTGCTGTGTACATGTTCATAAATGCAACATAATGTGTCTTTGACTAGAGATGTGTTCATAATTTTTTGGGAATGGAGAATATATCCTAAATCTTTTTGGTAGAAGTAGAAGTCAGAAGTACTTTTTTTAAAAAATGATTTATTTATTTATTTATTTGACAGGTAGAGTTACAGACAATGAGAGAGAGAGACAGAGAGAAAGGTGTTCCCTCTGCTGGTTTACCCCCAAAATGGCCACCACGGCCGGAGCTACACCGATCCGAAGCCAGGAGCCAGGTGCTACCTCCTGGTCTCCCACACGGGTGCAGGGACCAAGCACTTGGCCATCCTCTACTGCCCTCCCAGGCCACAGCAGAGAGCTGGACTGGAAGAGGAGCAACTGGGACTAGAACCCAGGGCCCTTATGGGATTCCGGCACCTCAGGAGGAAGATTAGCCAAGTGAGCCACAGCACCGGCCCCAGAAATACTTTTTGTAGTCCTTTTCTCTGTGTTCTGTTAGCATACATGTTCCTTACTTTGAAGTGACAGTAATCATCAGTACTGTAATTTATGATTTATTTATTGTAGATTTTCCTAGATGAGATTTGAGATCGTATGTTTTTATTTGTTTTCTTTCTTTTTATTCACATAGGCTAATTTTCTTGGCACATTCTCATTCTAGCTATTTCTAAGTTTCTAAGTGAATAAAGGTTATTGATAGCATTAAATAAAACAACGATAATAGGGATGGAAGAGATACATTTGAGAGTGATTGTAGTGAAAACATCAGTAGGATTTGATCCATTAGATTATGTAAATTAATAAAATAGTAAGTTATAATGCATATAATAGATATTATGAGCCAGATGCTCATATAAGTGCTTTATATATATTAACTCTTTTAATCTTCACTCAGCTCTTATGAGGCAGATACTATTATAACCATCCCTATTTATCTATTTACTTACTTGACACAGAAGGCTCCTCTTTAATAATTTAACTCCCTAGATATACACAGTGACCAGAGCTAGGCTGTGCAGAAACAGATAACTCAGTCCATGTCCTCCTCATGGTGGCAGGGACCCAAGTACTTGAACTGTCACCTGTCTTCCAGGGTATTTTAACAGGAAACTGGGGTTGAGAGCAGAGCCAGAACTCAAAACGAGGCACTCTGGTATGTCATGATGGTGTCCCAAGTGGAGTCTTACCTGCTGGAGCAAATGATTTCTTCATCATCCTTATTTTATAGATGAGGAAGCAATAAACTTACCCAAGGTCACATAGCTAAGAAGCGGTAGAGCTAGCATTGTGAACATGAGCAATTAGATGCCAAAATATATGCTGTTAACCACCTGCTATGTGACTTCTTAATGAAGAATGGAAGTACTTTCATTCGCATTATCTGAGATCTGTACAGGAACACAAACTCCATGCTAATGTATATTAGAGATTATAGGACTGTGGAAGACACTCACCTGACCTGAAGTGTGGAAACTGGCAAGTCAGGCATGGGAATTTCAGTTTTACAGCTCTTTCTCGCCCAGCAACATTGCCTCCAGTGTTAGTGGAGAGAATGTGTAAACTCAAGCCTGATTACTTAGAATTGTCAGGTGGACTCTGGGCTTTTTCCTAACTGTATTTCTAGACCTGTCTGATAGATGATTTTACAGAAAACTCCCTTGGCTGTTCAGCTTACCAAAGGGAAGAAGGGAAATTCACCTACCCTGGAAGGCAGGTGATAGTGTGCTTCAGCATACTGCATTAGCAACCTCCATAAATTTCTATTAACACCTTCCTATTATTTATAAACTTGGCAGGCTAGCGGAGATACAGAGAGCTTTTGGATATTTCTTGTTTTTAATAGTCTAACAACAGTGTGAAGAATACATACAGAAAAATAGCTATATTATTTTGTGGCCAGTATATATAGAAGTCTCAGTGGAGACATAATCATGCTTTGGAGAAGACAGAAAATCTGGAGAAAGGCAGTCAAGCTGAGTCTTGTAAGTGTCTTTAGTTAAATGGAGAAAGGAGTGAGTGCAAGGCTCATGAGTAAAAGGTAGAGTGCTTTTGAGTGAATCAAGAATGTGTAGAACAGGGACTGGTGCTGTGGAGTAGCGAGTAAAGCCACTGCCTGCAGTGCCAGCATCTCATATAGGTGCCAGTTCGAGTCCCGGCTGCTCCACTTCATCCATCTCACTGCTGATGGCCTAGGAAAGCAGTAGAAGATGGCCCAAGTCCCTAGGCCCCTGCACCCCCGTGGGAGACCTGGAAGAAGCTCCAGGCTCCTGGCTTCGGATCGGCCCAGTTCTGGCCGTTGCAGCCATTTGGGTGAGGAGTGAACCAGCAGGAAGAAGACCTCTCCCTATCTCTCTCCCTCTGCCTCTCTGTAACTCTGCCTTTCAAATAAATAAATCTTTTTAAAGTGTGTAGAATAGTATTTAATGTGTTACTAGAAGTGTTTTAGGAGGTAAGTGTGGAGAAATGGGAAGGGATCAAATTATGAACTCTGGATGTTTGATAGGTTTAGACTTTAAGTGAATAGATGTTTGCTTTTGAGTGTAGTCCTTGTACAGACAAATGGGGATTGCCCAGCAGTTTTTTCAGAAATGCAGAATCTCAGGTCTACAGTGACTAAGGTTCTGCATTTAAGTGAGATTCCCAGGTGATTTCGTTTATCCACTAAAATTTGAAAAATACAGTGGAGGAGTCATTCTGTTATTCTAAGTCAAATGTTTACAACTGGGAACACATTTTTTCAACAGAAAATATTTAAGAAATGATAGTAAAGGTTTTTATATAGTCCATAAAAGCCTAAATAATTGATAATTTCAAGTACTGTGTGAAAGCTAATGCTCCAAATGTCTAGTAACTTCGAGAATGAAGAACAGAAAAGCAGGTTTTTGTCTTGTTTAGACAAAGGAAAAAAGGGAAGTAAATCTGCCAGCCTGTGTTAAGTGCTGGGTTGCACAGAGTACAAGTTTAGGTTAGTTGTTTGCGTGATCCTGATCCAGTAATTCCCTGAGATCTTGGAGAAAACAGCTGTGTTCACTGGAAATATATAGGAAGTTCGTAACAAACTCTTACTTTCTCAACATAATGGCAACTTTGATTGAGAGAAAGAAGTTATTTTGATAATATGCAAAATCACCAGGATACACTGTCAGGTAAAAAGCACAACGCAGAGTTTATGTATAATAAAACGTCTTTCACGTTTGTAATGTTGCACATTGGCAAACGTATCTGTAGGATAAATTCCCAGAAGTGGGATTATTTGGACAGAGGCCATATGTGCATTTGTAATGTTAATAGATTTTTTAAAAGATTTATTTACTTATTTGAAAGGCAGAGTTAGAGAGAGGGGGTGGAAGAAAGAGATAGTGACCTTCCATCCGCTGGTTCATTCCACAAATAACCTCAATAGCCAAAGCTGGGCCGGTCCAAAGTCAGGAGCCAGGAGCTTCCTTCGGGTCTCCCACATGGGTGGCAGAGGCCCAAGCATTTGGGCCATCTGCTGCTGCTTTCCCAGATGCATTAACAGGAATCTGGATCGGAGGTGGAGCAACCAGGATTCAAACTGGCGCCCGTACCAGCACTACAGGTGGCAGCTTTACCTGCTATGCCACTGCGCCAGCCCATTAGTAGATTTTTTGTATACACTTGTTCTCCATAAATATTGTATCCATTCACACTGCCACCAGAGTTGTTTAAGAATGTTATAGTGTTTCGTTTCTTTTTTTTATTTATGCAAATTACATTTCCTGGAAATCAGCGTTTACTATATGGGTAGCAAACCTTTGTTAAGTATACAATAGCAACTGCAAATGTGTAGCTGATGTCTACTATACCAGACAACAGAAGCCTAGAAATTGACTATTTAATTTACCACCAACCTGGGTTTACTTCGAATAGTGATTACAAGGGAGATAGGGCAGGGCATATCTTCTTTGAAAAGCATGTTCAATGTCATAGTTTGATATTTGGAAAACACAAAATTTTGTAACAAAATTTTAATCCTCCTAGCTGGTGGGAAATGGTTCTAAACAACACATTTAATAATGTTATTTTAAAAATTTATTGATCTGAAAAAAATCATAGAGCTGTTTTTAACTGAATGCTTGTGCATTGTTGTCCATTCTTTCCACTAGGTTACCACCAAAGAACATGATTTTGGTCTAGGGGCTCCAGTTTCTGAAGCTGAAAAATACCAGAAGACTCTGCAGCTAGAACAAGAAGTGAGAAACCAAGACAGATTCATCTCTACACTAAAATTACAGGTTTACCTTTAGTTTACATATGTATTTTTCTGAATTTGAATTGGAGCCTACTTTAAAACAAGATGGATAGGGTGGGCATTTGGCAGAGGTTAAGAAGCAACATGGGGCCGGCGCCGCGGCTCAATAGGCTAATCCTCCACCTAGTGGCGCCGGCACACCGGGTTCTAGTCCCGGTCGGGGCTCCAGATTCTTTCCCGGTTGCCCCTCTTCCAGGCCAGCTCTCTGCTGTGGCCCGGGAGTGCAGTGGAGGATGGCCCAAGTGCTTGGGCCCTGCACCCACAAGGGAGACCAGGAGGAAGCACCTGGCTCCTGCCTTCGGATCAGTGCAGTGCGCTGGCCGCAGCGCGCCAGCCGTGGCAGCCATTGGAGGGTGAACCAACGGCAAAAGGAAGACCTTTCTCTCTGTCTCTCTCTCTCTCTCACTATCCACTCTGCCTATCAAGAAAAAAATAAATTAATTAAAAAAAAAAAAGGCAACATGGGGTACCCACATCTCATGTTGGAATGCCTGAGTTTGAGTTCCCACTCCACTTCCAATCCAGCTTCTTGTTAGTGTGCACCCTGAGAAACAGCAGATGATGGCTCAAATACTTGGGTGGCACCTGTGTGGGAGACCTGGATGGAGTTCTAGACTCCTGCTTTTGCCTGGCCCAGCGCTGGCTGGGCATTTCAGAAGTGAACTGGTGGGTGGAAGAAGTCTCTTTGTCTCTGTCTCTGTTGCCCTGCCTTTCAAGTAAATAAAAATTAATAAAGATGTTTAAGAATAAAACAAGATATAGAATAAATAATTATTAATTCACAGCTCATTTAAATCTAAACCATTCGATTTTTATCTTAACCTTTTGGATAAACAGGTTCAGAGTGAGTGAATGCAAACTTTGTGCCAACTTGTGAATCAGATGCTTTCAGGAACCTTTTGAAACAGTGATGGTATTTCCATTTATAGACATGAAGCTGAAGTTCCAGTAGGTTAAGTAATTGTGATATTCAGCTAATGAGTGACAGCTAGGATCTGTCTGAACTCCCAGGTTAGCTGAGATTTGAACCTAGTTCTCTAAACTCCCAAGTTCAGTGTTGTTCCTGTTCTCAGGATGTCTAATGTGGTATAACTGTTAATAAAGCCTGTGAAAGAGATTACAACTTTGGAATGGAGTAGACTTCTTTCTTTTGCTAAATACACCTAAAAACTCACTCTGAACTTTATATATAAAACAAACAAAAGAATGCTCTAAAAGTAGAGGGACATCAGGACACATGCTACTGAGTTCCTGGATTTTCTTTTTCCCTATATGTCTCAGATAGGATGCAGGAAAAACTGGCAAATGGAAATGACAATGAGTGCAGAAAAAACAGACCTTAGAAAAACCATTCTTATCTGGCCAAAGGACCAGGAAATGGGCTGTCTAGCAAGGCAGATGACATTTAGACAATGTCTAATAACTGCCCTGTCCACACAAAGACCATAGAAAAAACTACAGCCCCATTCCTGCCAGCACAGGACAAGTGGAAAGCCTGTGCTTGTGCCTACGCTTGTACCTTTGCCAGGGTCTGACAGAGGTTCCCAAGCCTTCCTGTTCCCTCTCCCCTTTGTGGGCTGAGTACTGAAGTCCTCAGTAGGCGATGCCAAGTGGAGACCACATGGGGAGGCAGGACATCCTTCCCTATCCTGCAGGAAGAGGTAGCCTCCTCCTCCTTGGGATGGTGTGAGAGGAGACCTGGTGCAGAGTCAGGACACTGGCCATCTCTCAGCAGTAGCAAAGCCACATACTCATGATGTCAGTGATAGACACAGGAGGAACCCTAAGGAGGAGCCTTTGTTCCTCCCAGCTCTGGTGGTAACAACAGAGGCCTAGAGGGAGCCTGATCTCCCACCCCTGTCTAGGAGTACCTAGGAGCCTGGCCCTCCTCAGGTGTCAGCTGAGGCTGGGTAGAGAAACTGTACTTGTACCCTTTCCTAGCACTGATGAGGCAGTGTCTTCCTTTTCTAGTGAAAGGAATATTAAAAGAGGCCAGCTAAAGTAAAAGATCACAGTCTTACAGTCTCAATAGGTCTCAATTAAAAATTCACTCATCCCAATAATAAGAAATATGAGAAAAGACAAATCAGGCAAATATGAGAAATGAAACAGATGTTAACAGTTATCTGGTGGTCTGCACTGTGGATTAGTGGGTAAAGCCACCACCTGCAGTGCCAGCATCCCGTAGGGGTGCCAGTTCGAGTCCTGGCTGCTCCACTTCCGATCCAGCTCTCTGCTATGGCCTGGGGAAGCAGTAGAAGATGACCCTTCACCCACATGGGAGACCTGGAAGAAGCTCTTGGCTCCTGGCTTCGGATTGGCGCAGCTCCGGCCATTGCAGCCAATTGGGGAGTGAAACAGCAGATGGAAGACCTCCCTCTCTCTCTCTGCCTCTCCTCTCTCTATGTAACTCTTTCAAATAAGCAAATAAATCTTTAAAAAAAAGTTTTATCTGTTGAAGATTTTAAAACAGTCATAAAAATGCTTAATAAATAATTATGGGCATGCTTGAAACAAAAGAGCAAAATAGAAAGTCTCAGCCAAGAAATTAAAGTTATAAAGAACAAAATGGGAATTTTAGAACTAAAATGACAATTGGCTCACATAAAAAATCTTGACACACATATTTCTAGCAGCTTTATCACAATTGCAAAAACCTGAAAGTAGTCAAGATATCCTTCAATAGTAGGTGAATGAATAAACAAACTTTGATAACTTTTATACAATGGAAAGTATAAGTGATAAGAAGAAATCAACTATGAAGCGAAAAAAAAAGGCATGAAATAACCTTGAAAGCATACTAGTAGGTCAAAGAAAATGTGAAAAGCCTTCACTCTATGTGATTCCATTTATGTGACATTCTAACAAAACAAAACCATAGAAACTAAAAAAGGAGCAGTAGCTTTCAGGGGTTTGGGAGATGGAAGGAATGAGTACACCAAGTAGAGCAACTTTTAGGGCAGTGAAGCTATCAGTATGACACACTGATAGTTAGCATGCCATTCCACCTTCACAACCCACAAGGTCTACCAGGAGTAAAGTCTCCTGGGGACTGTTCACATTAATAATGTATCAGGATTTGTTTATAGTTAGCATGTCATTCCACCTTCCTCACAACCCACAAGGTCTACCAGGAGTGAAGTCTCCTGGGGACTGTTCACATTAATAATGTATCAGTATTTGTTTATAGTTAGCGTGTCATTCCACCTTCATCACAACCCACAAGGTCTACCAAGAGTGAAGCCTCCTCTGAACTGTGAACATTAATAATGTATCATTGGCCGTCGCTGCGGTTCGGTAGGCTAATCCTCCATCTGCAGTGCTGGCACCCGGGTTCTAGTCCTGGTCCGGGCTCCGGATTCTGTCCCAGTTGCCCCTCTTCCAGGCCAGCTCTCTGCTTGGGCCCTGCACCCGCATGGGAGACCAGGAGAAGCACCTGGCTGCTGGCTTTAGATCAGCACGGTGCGCCGGCCGCAGCGGCCATTGGAGGATGAACCAAGGGTAAAGGAAGACCTTCCTCTCTGTCTCTCTCTCACTGTCCACTCTGCCTGTCAATAATAATAATAATGTATCAGTGTTTATTTGTAGCAAAAGGTGCAAATAAAAGGGGACACACTGTTGTAGCAAATGTAACATAAGATCTAATAGGAGAAACTGTAGGGAAAGAGTTTATGTGGGAACTGGACTTTCTGACAAGTTTTTCTATAAACTTCTCTTTTTTAAAAAGTCTATTAAAAATAACATGGCAGAAAATATTTCCAACTCATATATTTGGTTAGAACTTAATATCCAGGATATAAAACATCTACTACTCAACCAAGAAAGAAAACAGGCAGGTGTTATGGCATGGTGACTTATGTGCCTGGATCAAGTCCTAGCTAGTCTGTGTTTCTGACTCAGCTTCCTGCTAATTCATTGGGAGGCAACAGGTGATGGCCCAAGTACTTGGGAACCCACATGGGAGACCCAAGAAAGTTCTGGGCTCCTGGCTCTTGTTGGGCCTAACCCTGGCTGTTGTGGGCATTTGGAGAGTGAACCAGTGGATGGAAGATCTCTCTCTATCTCTCCCTCTTTCTCTCTGCCTTTCAAGTAAATCTTTAAAAAAAAGCAATCTAATTCAAAATTGGACCAAGGGTTGAATGGACAATTTCTCCAAAGAAAGTATACAAATGACTACCAAGTAAATGAAAAGATACTCACCATCATGTGAATCATAACCACAATGAGATACCACTTCATAATCATTAGGATGGCTATTATCAATATAATAAAATGAGTGGGGACAAAGAATATAAAGAGACTTCTGTGTTGCTTGAGGGAATGTAAAATGATGCAGCAGTTTTGGTGGTTCCTCAAAATGTTAAAGCTTGAATAACCAGGAGCTGACACTGTGGCGCAGCAGGTTAAAGACCCAGTCGGCAGTGTCAGCATACCATATGGGTGCCAGTTCCAGTCCTAGCTGCTTCACTTCTGATCCAGCTCTTTGCTATGGCCTGGGAAAGCAGTAGAAGATGGCCCAAGCCCTTGGTCCCCTGCACCTGCATGGGAGACCCAGAAGAAGCTCCTGGCTCCTGGCTTTGAATTGGCGCAGCTCTGGTCATTGCAGCCATCTGGTATGTGAACCAGCGGATGGAAGACCTCTCTCTGTCCCTCTGTAACTCTACCTTTCAGATAAATAAATTAAAAAAAAAAAAAGATTGAATAACCATATGACCCAGCTATTTCACTCTTAGATCCCCTAAAGAATTGAAAGCAGGGGCTCAGACACTTACACAGAGATGTTCATAGCAGCATTGTCCACAACAGCCAAAAGGTGAAAACAATCCAAGTGTACATTAGTAAATGAATGAATAAGCGTGGTATGTAATACAATGGAATATTAGCCTTAAGAATAAATGACCTGGGGCTGGTGCTGTGGTATAGTAGGTTAAGCCTCCATCTCTAGTGCCAGCATCTTAAAACAAGCGCCAGTTTGTGTCCCAG